GTTGAGCTGCTCCGAAAAAAAAAAACCGAGGCCCACAGCCCTAGACCCGCGACCCTAGCTCCCGATCCAAGTGCATCGACCCATTCACGTGGTCCAGCTGCACCAGACCCGAGACCCGCACCTCAGGTCCGACCCGTTCAACTCGAGATGCGTGACCAGTTGTTTGGATTCGACCCGGTTCAAGCACTAATCCATTTTCCCTAGCCCGATTCATTCTTTGATTTTTATTTCGAGCCCAATTTAAGTTAAAATGGCTTGAACCTGACTCCAATGGCTTAGACTGAGTAATTATAAATGGTAAATTGGTGATTTGAGTGAAATTTGAATTTATTGGGATTTTGCGAGCTTAAAGCGATAATTTTTCGATCTCGGTTTATATAAGTGATAAATCGCGATTTTAATTTTATAAATCATCTTAAATTGTCTTGAGGCGTAGGTGCGAATTGGAAAATTCTTGATGTTCGTTTGATAGGCCAAACGATTACCCATTTTTAGTTGGATGAGTTAGGAGTTGAATTTGGATGCGATGCTTTGTCCATGAATAATGTGTATGTTAAGGATGTTGTGTATTAAATTTCGTGATTTTTTGATGTGGTTTGATATTGATTAAAAATTGAGACGTCAGCTTCATTTTGCGATAATTTTAGAAAGTTAGTTCCGTTTGGATTTAGCTGCATTTGTTGATTATAAAACCCTTAAATATCGACTTAAAATGAGCTAAGTTTTTTGGGGATCGAAAACCCTAGTTTATCTGCTTTCGAAAATCAGGTGATTTCTAGATCCGAGTTTAATCACCTGAACCTACTTCCGTTTAAATAACTTTAAACATCTTAGGTTAAAAATTAGACCTTGGGTGTCGGGACGTGGCCGGTCGGCCGGTTAGTCACCGACGGGATCATAACCGAGCCAAGAAAGCTATCGAGGGCGTATCAAGTTTAATTAATCAACCGACGTACATTAGCACGTACTTCCAATGCGCATCGTCATCCCGCACACGTGTCACATTTTCGTCCGTTTGTTGGAGCCGAGCCACCGAGTGCGTGCTCGTGCACCGAGTCCGACCGAGCCACTCCTTTGCGCTCTGTTCAACGCCCATGCGTCCGTCCGACGTACCGTCAATGCTATATTTTCCGTTAGCCGTGGTCCAAGCACGCCCCTGCGTCAGTAAATGTGGCACGATTTCAAACCAGTGCATTGACTAAGCCCTGTCAGCCGTGATCGTCCCGGCCCCGATTTGCCACGCCAAAGCCGGTCCATGGTTAAGCTGAGCTGCACATAGTCAAGAGAATGATCGGCCGATTTTGACGCAGTTAAAATTTTGATAAACTGGACAAATTCAACGCGATTTGGTTTTTTGTCCGAAGGGTGCAGTTTTAACCGAATAGCACCGAATATGTTTTTTTTTTAAAAAAAAAACAAATATGTTAACATGTTTGTATTGTACATATACATGCTCATTTTGGGCCTTTGGTTTGGAAAGCTAACACTAACAATAAAACATAAAGTAATAAATAACAATTAAAATTTTAAAATACTATATTAAAATCTAATTTCTTGCACTAGTTTTTCACATTCAATTCAAATTTTG